CGCTGGTCGCGGCGCTCGGCGGGGCCGCCCTGCACACACCAGTGAAGTTGCCGTGCAGGGACTAACGCTCCGTGTTCTGCTGGTGAAAACCAGCTCTGCAAAATCACCAGCCTTAGCCCCCCCTTCCCCAAAGTCCCCGAAGCAGCTTTTCAGGAGGGCCTAGGAGTGCGCAGTGTGGGTTTTCCTTCGGAAAAAAACCCTTTTGGCTGTGATTCTACTCGCTCTTCAACTTACCTGTTCTTAATGTTTTGCTTACCCCCCGCGGTCTGGGGTTAGGCAGGAAAATGAGCTGCTCGTTTCCTCGTTGGCCTCGAAGGCAGTTCCGTGACTGCAGCGGGCGCTGGTTGTGTCTGCAGCTCGCAGGGCGTTGTGGAGCCGCTGGTGAGCTCCAGGAGGGGCGTTGGGAGCCCCCGAGCTCCAGCTGTGCTCTTGTCCTTGTGCTCCTGCTGATCCGGTTGTTTGGAAAGGCTCTTTGTGCCTCCGGGCGTTGTGGATGGTTTTGTTTTCAGGTGAGAAATTTGAGGCTTGCAGAGCGAAGTAGGTGATGGTATTTGGTGTAAGGTTGGACACGGAGTGGAGTTTTGCCTCTCGTCTGAACGCTGCCTGGTTTTGTTGGTGTGTGTCAGTCCTCTGCAAACCCTCAGCTTGTTTCCAGCGTTGTGAGCAGGAGCATGTACAGCGCTGTGGTTGTTATCCTGGGAATACCTCAAATGATTCTGGTTTTTCTTCCAAATGGGAAGTTCCTTGTGCATGAAGGGTTGCGCTGCTCCTTGAAGCAGGTGTGTTTCTGTGTGAAACTGGTCTTAGATGATTATCTTCTTTGTGAACTGCCGCTCGGCACTGCTGTAGATGAAAGTGTGTAGTTGAACCCTTCTGCTGTAGGATTGCATGTTTCTCTTAAAGATCGGATAAAACAAAGGTCTTATTTTTCTGAATGCACTTGCCATGCTACTGTGAGTCTGAAGAATGTAGTTGCATCTTACTCACTCGTGGGTCTGCTGTTCATGTCCTGGAAGATGTGTGAACATCTGTGTTTGTTGTAATTCCCTGGGTTAGGAAGTTTGTGGAGGGTTTGGTAGTACTTCTTGCTCCCAGTTCCCTTTGGTAATGGTGGCTATAACTGAAACTGGTTTGTTTGGGTTGTGTGAGGAGGAGGCAGTTCTCTGTTCTTAGTGAGGTTTGTTCCTGGGTAGACTTGCACAGAATCACACTTTTAGGATAAGGTGATTGATTCAGCAATGAAGGAGCAAAGGTTTTTTGTCCCATCTCTCAGTACTTGTGTTGCCACTTAGAATGTTTGGCTTTTTTGTTGTTAAAATCCTTGGAAGAAAACTTTTGTACAGGAATGAAAAAAAAAGAATTTGATCAGGATTTGGATCATGAAATGGCAGATTACAATTGAAATTAGTGTCTTGTGTGGAGTTGTCTGTGTGCTCTGTGGCCGTGACTGCCTGGAGGTGGTCGGGAAGTGTCGCTCGGTTTCACCAGCTTATGTGACTCTTGGAGAGCTCTTCACCTTCAGCTCTAGGGAGGCTTCTGAGTTACGGCTGCTGCTGCTCTGGAGTAAGAAGATACACGGTTGGAGGCTGGAGTGCCATTGCTGACGGAGGAGGGGGTTGTTAAAATTCAGGGTTTGAGGTGTTCTTGTTCTTTGCCTTTGAAACACTTGTTCACCTGTGGGTGCTGGGAAAAGTCAAAAGACTCTTGGAATGTTTTCTGGTTCTTTTGATATTCTTTGTGGAAGGCATGTCCATGTCTTGAAACCATACAAAAACTCTCCAGTGCATTTGCCAACAAGTCATGCAGGGCTAAGTGCACCCTGCTGAGTCTGATATGCTGCAGTGCCTTGTGGTGGTCGCAGGTTTGAACTTTGTGTATACACAGTTCTTTGGGGACTGTTACTGCTGTTGTGTTGCCTGCATTGATTTTTGCCTCCATTTATTCTTTGTTGCAGTCTAAAAGTTGGTTTTAATTGGTTGCCCACAGGATTGGCTTGGCTTCTGCTACTTGTTAAGAAAAAAAACATCTGTCTTTGCAGGTAAGAGCCTTTGAATTGAAGACTTCTTTATATGCATATTGAGTATATCCTAAGAAATGCTTTGAAGCTTTTGGAATCTGTATCCAAGGACTTGGGCCAAATAATCTACAGCTTGTCTCTTTACTTTGTCTCCCACTTGTGATGGTGGTTTTGGCAACCTTGTTATTCTAAACAGAATTTTTTGCCAAACTAACGTGTGTTATCAGCATGTGGTAGCCTGGAACACTCTCCCAGTTCTTTTGGACTGTTGGAAGATGTGGTTCCTTTGCTGCAGGCCACAGGTCTGTGTGTCTGTAACTATTGGGAGTGTAGAAGTGTACATCAATTGCTTCTAATTAGCTTTTCCAGCATTGAAAAGAATCAGATTTAAATTGGCTCAGAGATGTATTAATCTAACAGGATGATTTTTAGCCCTAAAAAAACCCAGACAAAACTGAATTCTCTAGTTTTAGCTTTTGCTAGACAGTCTCATATTTAAAATTCCTCCTCCAGCAGCAGTGTTACTGCAGCTCTGAGTCTTCACCCAGGAATTGCCAAATGTTTGTGCATTGTGTGGGTATTCTCCCTGGGGTCTGGGTTGGATCTTGTAAGCTCAGTTCCTGATTTGGGAAATATGTCCATGTTCAAAGGCTGTTCCGGTGCATACGGCCTAAATCCTTCTTATTTTACTGACTAGCACTGAGATGGAAGAAGTAGTGTTGCCATTTTGTACACGATTTTTTCCAGTGTAAGAACAGCATTTTTAGAGATAACTACTGCGAAGACATAAAGTGCTGTTGAGGCTCATCAGATGAGTTGCATCAGGTTCACCAGTAGCCTGTTAGTCCCCATTTTTGATCTGTGCTTGCTGATGGGGATGGGTTGTCCATAGCACACCTGGAGGATTTTGTGCTTCTGGTTTTTCCATAAATATACCAAATGCACAAAATGACCACAAATCCCACTTTTGCCTTCAAGTTCTTTTTTGTGCCAGGAGAAAATCAGCCTGAGAACAGCTCTGACAGCCTGACGAAGCCTTCGGTGCCCACTGGACAGGTGTGGGTCCATTTAGTGTCTGAAGTTCATGTTGCCTCTGAATGTGTGTGGGTTTTCCAAGTGAAATACTTAGCAGGCTTTGCTTTTTCATTCATTTGAAAGTATGAGCGAGTGGGACGTTGTTTCCTAAGTGCATTTGGGAAAAAACTTGGTTTGTGAGTGTTTGGAAATGTCAAACTTGACCTTTTTGGGCCTTGAGTTTGTTCTTTAGGTCACAGAAGCCACACTACTACTTTAAGTCTCAAAGTCCTGAAAACATTGAAGCAGTTGTGTTTTGGATTGACAAAATATTACTTTGTCAAAAATATTTGTGGAGTCAGGTCCTTAAATTAATTTTATTCAGACCATGCACCGTCAGCCCTTGCTTTATAGCAAGGGTTTGCTGAATGTCCTGCGTGGAATTAGCTACGGTGAAGTCATCACAGCTGTTTTTTCTAGTGACTGTACCTAAGCAGCTGTTTGGGTTCTTATAGTCAATAGTGGTTTAGTGGACCTGAATAGAGAATTTAGTAGCAAAACTTAGAGCTCTCTTAGCATTTATTTATGTATCTATGGACTATTATTATTCAAGGACTCTTAGCATTTATGAATTTATCTAAGGACTGTTATTATTTATCTAAGGGCTCTCTTAGAATTCATTATGGTTTTGAATTTAGTGCAGACTTGAAACACATTATCCCAGGAGTTCTGTTAATGTTCAAATGCTTGAACTCTAATTAAGAGTTCTGACTATCTGTTGTTTTCTGGGCTGGATTCAGGATATGGCTCCTAAATGCAGTGGTCTGACAGGTGTCAGTTCTGATTAAGAATGTCTAGACCAGCAGGTCTGAGCACACAAACCTGCCCAAGCTGCCTTTGTTCAGCCAGTGGCCATGGCAGATTGTCATCCCTCGTGTGAGTGAGGAAGTAACTAAACATAGTCTACTGTTTAACACAAGGAACTTCAAGTGTCTTAACTCCTGATACATCAAAAATTCTGAAAGTGATTTCTGTGTATACTAGAAAGAAACGTCATAGAAGAAGTGTAAACCTCCTAGCAAGATTTGCCCTTAGAGGTATTTCAGTTAGCAAAGCACAGGTGAGGAGCCAGGGATGCTTTTATACCACTTGCTTGCCTGAGGATCATGTAATTCAAAAGCAATCCTGTAGCTCAAGCCTTGGGTTTACAATACCCTTTAGTGTGGCTTCTTCAAAGGAGGCAGAATTTTCAGTTCAGCTTCAGTTTCAGAGATTGCTATCAGTGTTAGTCCAATTTAAAGCAAAGCCACAGAACTGTTCTGAAACACTGCTTTTCAAAGCACTGCAAAGTCTTGGGTGCTTTCTTAGATGTTTGCGTAGCACAGACAGTCATTGCTTTGACCTGTGGTGGTTTTGTTCACATGGGCCAGTTTTTTTGTTGTTGGAAGATGATTGGGCAATGAACTTTATTCTCAAGCTGAATTTAACTGCTGCTGTAAGAGATCAAGGCAAAGATGTTTCTTCTGTTGCCTCACCATGGAGATGGGAAAGTTGCCTTCAAACAAATGATCCCTGAGGCTTAGTATGTGTTCCCGTTTCTGCTGCTGCTTCCCTTGGTGACACTGGAGTTGTCTTAGCCGTGGTTGGTTTTTCTAGACCTTCTTATGTTTGTATTGCAAGTTCCAGTCCCTTTCTCAGGATGGTACAGTAAGGAATCAGATGTTCATGCACAGCAGCTAGAGCAGCAGAGTTGACTTTGGTGCCAGCAGGGGCTGGTTTGCTCTTTGCTTGAGGGAGAAAGGTCCCCACACTCCTCTGCTGTCAGCTGGTTGTGGGGCAGTGCCCTGCAGTGCCCCAGGATGTTTGGGTTCCTTAGTGTGCAGAAGGGGTTAGTTCTGGTTTATTGAGCAACAAAACTCAAGACTTGATCCATTTGAGTTATCTGAAACTCCATCATGGAGATACAAGAGTTGCTGCTGTTTCAGCCCATAGAAGAATTGTTACTCTTGTTTCCTTAAGTACTGGATTCAGCCTTACCTGGTGTGGTTAAATTGTGGCCTTGCCTGGTCTTTTGAGATGTGTCTACACTAAAGCGATGGGAAGACCTGAGCAGGCAAAATGCAGCTGTTTGTGGGTCTGACTGTGTACTGGGATGTGATGCTTAGCTGAACGTGAGTTGTCTGGAGGTGGTTCCTGATCCTGGTTGGTCAGAGTGATGCTGGTGATGGCCAGGAGTCTTCGGTGCTTGGCCTCATGGTGCTGCCCTGGGGCGTGTGGTTGGACTCTAAGGTGTGTTCCAACCTGCACAACTCTGTGATTCTGTTATCTGGGTCATTCTCGATTTCAAATGCTTAGTTAACACCACTTGTATGTGACCAACGGGAGCCTTGGAGATCTCCCAGGTACTGGCCCAGCTTGTAGCTAGAAAGTAACTTGCAGAGACCAGGTGGCTCAGGTGAAACAAGGTGCTGCTGCTGGTGGCTTAGGCTGAGACTGGCTGCTGAACGGTGAGGCGTGCTGATATTCATATGGTGCTTTCAGTCTTCACTGAAGGTTTGTCAAGAATAAGAGAGAATTATCTAGTTTCCTCTTCAGCTTCTGATGAGACTTCAGACTTGTGTAGAATGTGTCCAAGGTAACTGTCCAGATGTAGCTGTTCAGAATTAATCTTAAGCTTTCACCAGTGTCAGCTGTAGAGGGAAAAGTAATTTCCATGTGCCTGAGATGGAAGGTGTCAGTGCTAGACAATGTCTGCAACTGCTAAAACATTATACATTGCGTTTGAAAGTTGTAAAGGCCAAATATCTTACTAGGATATGCAGAGATGCTCATCTGATTTAGGTGAGGTCTGTATAGACACAGTGTTTGGGACTAGTTTATAACAGCAAACTTCAGGTCAGCTGGACCTCTTGCCTCTGCTGGGTGGAAAGCGTCAGGTCAGTATAACGAGGTGGTCCCTGTAGGGTGTCCTGTGAATCTGTTGCTGGTTGTCCATAACCAACCCACTGGTACGTTTCTAACTTCTGTCTGGCAGGAGGTAAAATCCCTCCCCACATGATGGAGAACTGTTCATTTCCCATAGCTGTGCAGAACATTTCAGGCAATTAGTGAGGTATGGTGGATACCATGTTAATTCTGTTCTGTAGGCTAAAACACTCATTTTGCTGATGTTCTGTTAAGCATTGAACTACTGATATAATAGTTCTGATTTTTGATGTTCCTTTAACTGACACTTGTGGGTCTTAGTGTAACAGCAATTTTGGAACTTCTAGTGCAAAATGTATACTGATTGTGTGGGTAAATGTTTTAATCCTTCAAACTGCACTGAGTAAATGTGAATAAGGAACTTGCAAAGAACTGAGCATGTCTGTGTTCCACGATGTTAGTGGGTGTTATAAACCAATGTAGTAGATGGTGTCTGTAGGTAATTGCATGGTGTCACGAACAGTAGTCTGACATAGCCGTTGCCTTTTCTCATCTGCAGGTGTGTGTTGTTTCAGCGCAGCATGGCTGTGGTCATCCGCTTGCAAGGTCTCCCGATTGTGGCGGGGACCATGGACATTCGCCACTTCTTCTCTGGATTGACCATTCCCGATGGGGGCGTGCATATTGTAGGGGGTGAACTGGGTGAGGCTTTCATCGTTTTTGCCACTGATGAAGATGCAAGGCTTGGTATGATGCGCACAGGTGGTACAATTAAAGGGTCGAAAGTAACGCTGTTGCTGAGCAGTAAAACCGAAATGCAGAACATGATAGAACTCAGTCGTAGGCGTTTCGAAACCGCCAATCTAGATATGCCGCCAGCAAACGCTAGCAGGTCGGGACCACCACCTAGTTCTGGAATGAGTGGAAGGGTTAACTTGCCTACTACTGTACCTAACTTTAATAATCCTTCTCCTAGTGTAGTAACCGCTTCTACTACGGTGCATGAGAGCAATAAAAACATATCCACGTTCTCTACTGCCAGTATGGGGACTGCACCTCCAAATCTCGGGAGTACCTTTGGTAGTCCGACATTTAGCTCAACTATACCTAGTACGGCGTCCCCGATGAACACAGTACCTCCTCCCCCCATCCCTCCCATCCCAGCTATGCCATCTTTGCCACCAATGCCTTCCATTCCCCCCATTCCTGTCCCACCTCCCGTACCCACACTGCCTCCTGTTCCTCCCGTTCCTCCCATACCCCCTGTGCCCCCTGTACCCCCAATGACGCCTCTGCCT